CATCAGGGTACGATTGCGCCTTTCAGCTACTCTATTCTGCTGAGGTTCGCCCGGTGTAGAATACTAGTCTACTATACCATTCTTCTGTAAGAACCTTGCAAAAGGTCTAGAAACTTGGCCATATGGGGTATGCCGACCGTAGTACTCCCCCCACGGTCGGACCTGACTATCTTAATCTTTAAATTGTGTTGGTTTTCAACTTCTGCCTTAAATATCTTAAATTTATCCAATTCTTCTGTTCTTTCTTTGATTGGATAAATGTAGCCATAACAGGAGTAATCATCTGTGAATGTTATGAATGAATCAAAACCATCCACACTCTTTATAGGAAAGGGACCACGATGTCTATGTGAATAATCTGTAGAATTTATACGCTTCGTTTGACATCTTTCTTAATTTTCTTTACATACTTTCCTTTTATGCAATCTCTATATTATTCTAAATCTGAGAGCTCTAATGGAGGAAGAATATCATTCTTAACTAGTATTTCTATTCTCCTCTCTCGAAATATGGCCTAAACGATAGTGCCATAATTTTGACAACGCATCGTGAGCTCTCTTCATTTTTTCTGTTTATCATGCAGACGAGGATACATTCACATTGTCGCACGCAACGTTCTCATCATCACATACAACATTCACATCATCACGTAGTGATAACAAATAAAGCTCGTCTTGTCGGAAGGCAAGACCAATACATCTATTATTAAACAATATATGACATTTGCCATTTCCAAAATGGCAATCATAACCATCATGGTCCAACTTTAAAACACTAATCAAGTTTGTTTGCAAAGAAGGTACATAAAGAACATCTCTAAGAAAAAGTATGAAGCCATCAACAAGCTCTAGCGGAAGATCGCCAACGGCCTCAACATCTGCTTGTACTCCATTTGCGACTTTAATGAAACTTTCGCTTCTTTACAAAGTTCTCATCGAACGGAATTCCTTTAAAGAATTAGCAACATGAATAGTTGCACCTGAATCAATTTACCAAGTAGATTTTGAAAACCTGACATACAAAGATTCATTTATGAACGTAATAATGTTCTCACCTTTCTTTTTATAATCATCTTTAGGAAATCGGGACAATTTTGCTTGTAATGTCCCCTGCCCTTACAATGAAGACATTGATCTTTATCCACTAGGAATTGCTTGTTCTGAGACTGTTGCATGGGACCCTTTTTAGGTGACTTGGAGGAAGAGCTATTATTATAGTTCTTTTTCTTATTATCTTTTAGGTAGTTGATAGTACCACCATGTGAAACTTTTATTCTTTCCTCTTCCTGCACACACATGGCTATGAGCTTTTCTAAATCCCATTTCTCGGACTATATGTTGTAATTAACAACAAAAGTGTCAAATTCTTTTGGCAAAGAAGCAAAAATCAAATGAATAAGAAACTCATCCTTGAGAGCCAAATCCATTGGTTTGAGCTTAGATGCCAAATTGCTCATTCTCAGTATGTGCTCTCTAATGCCACTGCCGCCACTAGAGTACCTTTCTATCACCAGTTGCTTGATCAGTTGGGTTGCATATGTCTTTGAAGAGCTAGTGAACTGACTCTTTATTCTTTCTAGGTACTCTGTGACCGTGTCACAGTCTGGAATTGAACCCACTATTGTAGGCTCAATTGTATTCTTTATCACAGCCAAACATTTCTTATTAGCTGTGACCCACTTTCTATGTTCAAGGTCAAAAGACATCTTTACGGGAGCAAAGCCCCGCTCTCTGTTCTGCCATGCAGCATCAGTCTCATCAGTCTCTCTCGTCGGTGCCACAAGTTCTTTGGGACACGGTGTGGTGACTACCCAGTCCACCTCAGCTAATATAAAGGCCAAGTCGATCTTTTTCTTCCATTCAATGTAGTTATCCCCTTTTAGAGTGGAGATCTCTTTGATACAACTCATCAAGTTGTATTCGCCTGAAAACACAATTCAAATAGTGTGAGAACATAAATAATAACAATAACAATTGCATGCTTTATTTCCAATGTTGGTTAAAATTAAAACATACAATTATTCTCTACACTAATTCTACATCACCGTTAGGCAGAAATAGAATTAATGCATGACAAAACATCATAATAATATTGCCATTAATCAACGTTGGTCAGAATAATAACAATATTATAATCAATTAAAACATATCCATTTTCAAAATTAAATTCTCCCGTTGGTTCGAATTTAATAATGAAAATTACATCTTTAAATACACAGCGGAAAATCATTCAATTTGATGAATTTTACCCACAGGGAAAAATACTTTTTTATTTTCTTTTGAGCCAATTTCCATTTTTCAATTTTCTGGAAAAAGAAAAATGCCAAACCGGGCTCATTCTTTAATATTTTGGCCCAAAACTGGCAAAAACCGGCTCGGCCCACACACTTATGCCTGGCGCCGGCCACGCACTCGGCCTGGCCGGCAAAGAGATTCGGTTGCCACTACCACTTTGGGCAGCATGAGTTGGCCCGTTCGATATCGGCCATCTGTCCAGATCCGACGCCCGAGCGCGCATTTCGCTCGGATAAAACGCCGACGCCGCGTGCCCCCGAGGAAACCCTAGAGGCCATTCAGCTCTTTCCTCCCTCTCTCTTCTTTCTTTCCTCAACGCAGCAGAAGCCAGCCACCGAGTGAGAAGCCAAGAGCAACAATGGTGGAGCGGGAGCCATGGCGCCATTGTCGGCCCCCCTCACCGGCGTGCGCGCTCCCAATGGGTGAGCCGCCGCCGTCGAGCTTTGGCGTGGCGCCTCTTTTGGCGAGAGCTCATGGCGAGGCGCCTGACTGGCGCGTTTTTTTCCCCAACTGCTGCGGTCTTTACGACGGTGAGGTAAGCCCTCTGGGTCTCCCTCTTCCCCTTTTCCCCTTCTTTGGATCTTTTGGGATAAACCCGATTAGGGTTAGGGTTACGGGAGAAGCACTGTTTATCTTCCCCAGAGGGACTACGGTTTTAGGGTTCGGCATCTTACATTCTTGAAACCGAGCCCTCATTCTTTTTTAACCCAATTAGGGTTAGGGTTCATCCGAACCCTCTTTTTTCTCAGATCTGAAAGGATCGAAGTTAGAGTTCAACCGAACCCTTTGTCGACCGAAACCCTCTTCTTCTTCTTAGACCCGCACTGGATCTAAACATCTTAAGCTAGACCTATACCTAAACGTGGCTTTGATACCATTGTTGGAACTATAGGATCATAGGGATCATAGATCTAGCCATAGACTTGTCCTATTCGGTATAAAAGGTGAAGCAGTAGATCCTAATACATGTAGAACGAACTAGAGAGAGACAGGGAGATGGTGCCGAACCTGACACCGAGGAGGGGGAGGGTTCGGTGGCCGCCATCGGGTTCGTTAGTGATGTCTGCGCATGGGCAGCGACGGTCGGTGAAGATCGGTCGGAGATGCGGTGTCTTGCGTGGTGAAGATCGATTGGCGGCCTTGATGCTGAATGAGTGGAGGCACTTCCCGTCACTGGCTGCGCCCCTCACTTAGATCGGGTTTATGGTTTGTCGATGGGGAGGTCGGCTCAGGTCAACCTCGTGATAAGAGCCGCCGGCCCTCACCTCTTTTTATAGCGCAGGGTGACTGGGGCCCTTCAGCCATGGTGAAATTTGGGCGCCCCCGATCAGAGCGCGAATCAAAGGCCTAACTGGGTCGTTGGATCCAGTCAGGTTAGAGATCAATCTAACAATCCTCACCTTGCCTGCCACCTTGTTTGTTTGCCCACTCATGCCGGCACACGTTTTTTTTCTAAGCCAATCCACCCCCTTGGTCTACCGTTTATAATTCGGAATAATTTCTTAGTTGGAAAAATGTTTCTCACCTCAGTAACTCTCTTTTCAAAAAAACAAAAAAAAGGCTACTCCATTGTTATAGAAACATTTCTAGTTTCGAGGTTTATACTACCCTTAAATGTTGCATTTTAAATGGTACTTATGGTTTTGTGAGAGTATAGTATTTTTTTAATCACACAAAGACTCCTTTTCCCTCTTTTTGGGAGGAAGCAAAAGGACAATGTGCCACTTTATTTAGTGTATGAAAACCTTTCTAATTTTGAGATTTACACTCCTCAATTGTTGCATTCTACTTCTTTGGCCCTAAATAAATAGATTCCTAGCTCAAGATTTTGTCTATGAGTAAATCAATCTCAGAGGTTGAATGGTCCATTAGCCCATTTATTTTCTTCGAAGTCTCCTCACATTTACTGCACCCCCTCTCATATCTCAATCTAGTGTTGAGTTTCTACAATTGGATGTGTATAGTAAATGCTATATATAGTTTGCTATTGGAATAATCATGGATTAATGTACAACTACTCTAATTAACAAATGGCAGTGGCCTGTTCGCTTGGATGAATTTACTAGAGACGCTCTAAGCAAGACCCCAAAACCTCGGTCGAAATCCCAGCCACGCAAAGTGGACCCCACCCAGAGCCAAAGCCCAAAAGGCCACCCCTCGTTGCTTCAGAAACAACACAAACCCAAACCCAGGCCAAGCGCGAGTCCACCGCCTCCCCCCAACCCCCACTTGAACCCTCCAGTCCCCAGCTCCCCGCCGCCCTGCGTGCGTGTCTCGTCTCTCGTTGTGCCAGTCGCCTGTGCGGTGCGTGTCTCGTGTCTCGTCCCCGTGCGCCCGAGAGGTAGAGGCGAAGAAGGCTCGTCGTCGCGTTGCTCGTCGTCTCGTCTCGCCTCGCCTATAACTACTCCCTCCGCCCGCTCCGCACCCACCCCCGCTGCCCCGGACTCGCCCGCCCTATCCTGTTCGTTCCCCTCCTCTTCCTCTCCACACGATCCCCTCCCTTGTCGGCTTCCGCGCGGGCGGGAGGAGCCGCGGCCACCGCCTCCCGCTCGCGCTATATCACACCACTCTCGCCGCGCCGCACTGCGCGACGCGTGGTGCGCGTCTGCCTGCTGTCGCGGTCCAGGCTAGCTCTGCGGGGGACGCCGGACCGGAGCCGGATCACGCCTCCCCTTCCCGCCCCGCCAGGCCCAGGGCCAGAGGGCCATGGCCACGCTCCCGCGCGCGGCGCCGCCCACGCCCGCCGCGCTGCTCCCGCTGCCCCGCGCCGCGCCGCCGCTGCTGCTCGCCGGGAGGGCCGCCGCCGCGCGCCTCTCGCGGCTGCGCGCGTGGGGCCCGTCCGCGGCGGCGTGCCGGAGCTGGGTCGTCGCCTCCTCCTCCTCCTCCTCACGGGCCGTGCTCGGCGGCGTCGCCCGCCGGGAGGCCCCAGCCGCGCCGCAGAAGCCCACGCAGCAGGTACGGATGGATATGCGCGCCCGATCGGGGATGGGTTAGTGGTCTCCTGACTCTCGTCGTTACTCGTGACGTGGGTGTGTGTTAGAGAGAGGTACTGCGCGTTTTGGGGTTTTGTGGCCTCTGGACTGTTCAGTTTTGTCCATCTACGAAATCATCGGGGTTTTGTGGCTTCTGGATTGTTCATCGGTTTTCTCTATGATATCATTGCCGATTGCATGCTTCGATGGCTTATGATTTGTGTGATCGGTTTTGGCGACTTGCTGGGATTGAAATAGTTGTACCATTGCCGATTGTGCTTGAGTGATTGGTGAAAGCAGGAACAGTAGCGCAGGCAGGCAGTTGACGAGTCCAATTTGTTTTGACATATCCTGATCAGTGCATTTTATTAGCCTACGTGTTGAAGCAGTGGTTGGTTGCAACTGCAAGTTTTTTAATCCGTGGTTGATCGTCATGCGCTGCTAATGGTCGCTTTTGATCTGTTCCTTTCATGGAGGTTTTAAAATGTGTTGTGTAAGAAGCGAACAAAGCACACCAAATGCAGGGTTGATAAACAATTGAGGGTGATGGAAAGACAGGTGACAGCTGTAGTGGTAGGTACTAATCGCGATCATGTTTCCAGGAGCGTCAGTGCATGACATTGTGTAAAGCATTGGTATAATATCTGTAATAGTATACTAAATCACGATGCCCCTTCTGGAATGTGTTTGAATGGGTTGCAATAGCTACAACGATGTAAGTTAGACTATGTATTTAATGCTGGTTAACACAGGAATTCCTTTTCCTTTCTCCTACCAGGCTGCGGACCTGAACCATATCTTGTCTGAACGCGGAGCTTGTGGTGTTGGGTTCGTCGCAAACTTGAAAAATGTGCCTTCGTTCAACATTGTTTGTGATGCTCTTTTGGCTCTTGGGTGCATGGAGCATCGTGGTGGTTGTGGAGCGGACAATGACTCTGGTGATGGCGCAGGACTGATGAGTGCCATCCCATGGGACTTGTTTGATGACTGGGCCAACAAGCAAGGGCTTGCTCCCTTTGACAGAAGAAATACAGGTGTAGGCATGGTCTTCCTTCCACAAGATGAGAAGTCAATAGAAGAAGCCAAAGCTGGTAATTTCTTGATGCTTTACCACAATATGCTGCCCACACAGGGGAGCATTATTCTTGTCTAAAAAGAGGAACATTTTCTATGCTCATTTCGAAAGAGATTTCTACTTGGCAATCCCTGTCTTGTTGCAGCTTACTTCAACTATTATATGGAATTTTCAGGCTGCCATACTTTGCATGCCTACAAAATGTTTGTCCTTAGAAATTGAAACCTTCTTCTGGAATGTGGTTTCTTTGGCACACCATTTCCCCCTTATACGTGATATTTGGAAAGCATGCAAAAAGTTTAGTTGTTGTTTCTGTTGTGCTAGTTTGCTTGCCTTCGGAGGACCGCATTTTCTTGATAATGCACTCTTCTTTTCTTTTTGGAGAAAAATTGTGTCCTTATCTTTAATAGGTGCTAGTTACCAATTACCATAATTGCCGTTAATTCTGCTTCTGCGTGATCTGAAAGCGGTCACTCATCTTGTTGCAGCAACTGAAAAGGTTTTTGTGGATGAAGGCCTTGAGGTTATTGGTTGGAGACCTGTTCCTTTTAATGTATCAGTTGTAGGTCGCAATGCAAAAGAAACCATGCCTAATATACAACAAATATTTGTGAAAGTTGCAAAAGAAGATAATGCTGATGACATAGAGAGAGAACTATACATCAGCCGAAAGCTGATAGAGCGGGCTGCAAAATCTTTTAGTTGGGCAGATGAACTTTATTTCTGCTCTTTATCGAACAGAACTATTGTCTACAAGGGAATGCTTCGATCTGAGGTTCTTGGGCAATTCTATTTAGACCTTCAGAATGAACTATATAAATCTCCTTTTGCCATATATCATCGAAGATACAGTACAAATACAAGTCCTCGATGGCCTCTTGCTCAACCTATGAGGTTAATTGGACACAACGGAGAGATTAACACAATACAGGTTTGCAATAACATCCTCAAATGGTGCCTTTGATTACTTTTAAACGAGTATCTTGTTTTTAGTTTCTTACTAGGATGCTCATGTAATGTTTTGATACTGAAATTACACGATCCTTCAGCATTATTAATAGGGTTACTTTTTTCCTTGTAGGGGAACTTGAACTGGATGCGATCAAGGGAAACCACACTACAGTCTCCTGTATGGCGAGGCCGTGAGCATGAAATTCGCCCGATTGGTGACCCTAAAGCATCTGATTCAGCAAATCTTGACAGTACAGCTGAAGTAAGAAACCGTGCACCTTTTGCTGAAATTATAGTTGCAAAGCCTGCATTCTGCTCACAGAAACCTGCATCCATTTTTCTTTTTCCACTCCACTTCACCTAAAATACTGCTGCTGTTATTGTTAAATCTTCACATCCTTTCTTGCATCAGTTGCTGCTAAGAAGTGGTAGAAGTCCTGCAGAAGCTCTTATGATTCTCGTCCCTGAGGCATATAAGAACCATCCAACATTATCTATAAAATACCCTGAGGTATGTTTATTGACATGCATGCATTCCCTTCCGTATTAACCTACACAGCCACCCTGTCTAATTGAGTTTGTTTTGTTCTGTATTTAGGTAATTAACTTTTATGACTACTACAAAGGACAAATGGAAGCTTGGGATGGACCTGCTTTACTCCTATTTAGGTAAAATCGTTTGTATGCCCATATAGGATTGTCAGTTATTCCATATTTTCTTTCACTCTTTGAGTATCTGATGTGAAACAACAGTTTTCTTTAACCACTTTGGTTAAAGACTTGTTGTGTTATAGCAGATTTTACTTCTGTGCACCTAAAAGCAGGGATGAAATATAAAAAATGGGTATTCTGTGCACTTAATTGAGCTCTGTGTTGTTACAAGTGGCATTGAGTAGTATCCTTTTTAGGAGGTATTTTAAACGTAGCTGTCGAAACCTTCTGAGCCATGCTAGGAGCCTAGGACAGTGAGTTCCCGCATAGGGGAGAAGAAATAATAATAGGCAATAAACATAAGAATAGTCATAGGATAAAAACTTTTAAAGGCATTACTGAATTGGTCTGAGACTGAGTTTTTGTGGTGTAAATTCATGCATAAGATATTCCAGTGCCACCTTTCCAACTGAATATTTGCCAACACAGTGGTGGTGCTTATAATTCTTTTTAAAATATATATTTTTATGTTCAGTGATGGAAGAACTGTAGGAGCAACTCTTGATAGGAATGGGCTCCGTCCAGCACGCTATTGGAGAACATCAGATGACTTTGTTTATGTTGCATCTGAGGTAGGTTTCAGCTGTTTCTTTCTTCTGTACAAAACTATATGTTCAACAACAATGTCATCAGAGAATTGTTCTTCTCATAGATAATAAAATATCCATTTGGAATCCTTGAATTGGAGCATTTGGTTTATCTGCCAATACTTCATTGCAGATATATTGACACCCTTCTATACCAAATCGCAGAGTTCAGATGTCACAAGCTAAACTAAATGTAACATTCAGTAAGTACTGTGTCCATTTGCTAATGTGTAGGTCTGTCAGCTAGGTTAGGTGATTAGGTGAAACTATTAAGTTATAAATATGTTCCTATTTAAATGTAATGTGATGTAGCAGGGACTCTTAATTTGTGATGTATAGAAACTTCTACCGCACTAAACTTCTTATCTTGCTCTCGTCTATACAAGTTTGTAGAGAAATGTATAGTTCTTCAGTTGTCGTAGGGAGGATGCCTTTTTTTTTTGGAGATTTTCCCATATCTAATTAAGTGGTTTTGCAAATCACACCTTGTGACCATCTCCTGAGTGGTTTAAATTGATCTAATTTTGTTTTTAATATTTGCATAAAAGTATGCCCTAGTAGTTGAATTGAATTCTGATCACCTTCTTAAGTGCTATGTGAAACCTAATAGTTCATGTTTGGTTTGCACTGATCACTAATTCTGTCAATGGCAACCCACAAGGTTGGCGTTATACCAATGGATGAGTCAAAGGTAGTAATGAAAGGACGATTAGGTCCTGGAATGATGATAACTGTTGACCTACAGACTGGACAGGTTAGAATAGAAACAAATAATCTTTTCTCTTTCTTGGCGTTGACTGCTGCTGAATTTTGTACTAAAGATTTTAAACCTCATGAACCATCCAGGTGCTTGAAAATACAGAAGTAAAGAAAACTGTGGCTTTAGCGAGCCCCTATGGAACTTGGTTGCAAGAACGCACACGTTCGATAAAGCCTGTCAACTTCCTCTCTTCAACTATCATGGACAATGAGACTGTTTTGAGACATCAACAGTAAGAATTCATCAAGCTTTGTTCATTGATGCAACACATACTAAGATCTTTTCTTTTACTTGTCCAAATGTGGTCTTGTGGAACTTTATATGTTTGCTATCGTCAGAGTTTCTGTGCTTGAATGTCTGATATTCTATCTGGTACTACATGTTACTGTAATGATTACATTATAAACAGACAAAAGTGTTCTTGATGTTTCATAAAATGCATCCAAAACTCTATGTTTTTGCCTGTAGTTCCATTGTGCTATGGCCAATGCCGCCACTGATCGGGTTAATTTTAACATGTTAACCTAGTGCACTACCTAGCTATATTTACTTTTAGAACAGAAGTTGTGCAACAGACAAATTCCACGGGTTGTAGCGGCTATAGGTATTAGATTCATAGATTGTTGCTCAGGCTGAACATTAAATGTAAGCATACTGTTGTTTCCTTAGGGCATTTGGCTATTCAAGTGAAGATGTGCAAATGGTGATTGAATCAATGGCTTCACAAGGAAAGGAACCAACATTTTGTATGGGCGATGACATTCCGTTAGCTGTGTTATCACAAAGACCACACTTGTTATATGATTATTTCAAGCAGCGGTTTGCGCAGGTTAGTAAGTCCTTGCACATTTTTACCTTTTTAACTAGCCAAGGCCTTTTGAGTCCAAATTGGTCGCTATATCCATTGCTCTCAAGTAATAGCTTTCTCCTTATCTGTGTGACAGTAATAATTGTTAAATGTCTTGCTGCACAGTTTTGTATTCCTTGGCAAACATTCCATCTATAGCAGAGTTGGTAGTTGAGAAATTCCATTTTTCTCAGGCACAATAAAGTGTTATAGAAGTACTGGCAAATTCGAGGCCATCTTCAATCACATTCAACTCATTAGTGTATGTGCAAAGCTTGGTCTGCTGTGTTGTGAAATTCAATATTGTCACACCAAAACCCCCAAAAGATGTAAATTGAGCATGCTCTTCTGTTGGTATGTTAGTCTTGTAGGAAAAGAAGTTAGTGATTTAGTAACTTGGTGATATGATGACATTTTCTCTGCGGAATCTGCTGTCCTCATTTACAAAAGTTAAGATTAATGTCCTCTCAGCCTTGGTTTCCACGAGACATAATTTTCTTTCCCATTCTAGGTTACAAATCCTGCAATTGATCCCCTCAGAGAAGGTTTAGTTATGTCTCTTGAGGTTAATATTGGGAAAAGAGGCAACATCTTGGAGGTCGGCCCTGAAAATGCTGATCAGGTATGTGTACTTAGTTTCAAATTAAGTTTATGACTTTACATTTATTCTTTTTTGGGTGCAATATCAAAACACCACTATTGACCTTTTTCAGGTTGCGCTATCAAGCCCTGTGCTGAATGAAGGTGAACTAGAAACTCTATTGAAGGACCCAAAACTGAAGCCCAAAGTACTGTCAACATACTTTGATATTCGTAAAGGTCTAGATGGTTCACTTGATAAGACAATTCAGGCTCTTTGTGAAGAAGCTGACGCTGCTGTGCGGAGTGGCTCTCAACTTCTTGTTCTTTCTGATCGTTCTGAAGCACCTGTGAGTACTGATGTTTAACATGTTAGCACATTGTTTGAAAACTACTACTATCTTTTTGGGTTCATTTCCCCCAATCTTTTACATATTTGAATATTTTGGCAGTAGAATTTCACATCTTTATTTTTGAAGTGTACTTGAGATCTAAATGTATGTTTGACATTCTTCTCAGTTTCACTTGCTTAATATGCATTGTCGTAGGTTATTTATTCACTATCATATTAGTAATACATAAAATTTGGAACAATGGACGGATTTGTGCTGTCCACAGCTGCACACAAATTTTGTGCAGTTAACCAGAAAAACTACATTACAACGAAGTGGATAATACAATGTCCATTTTAGCTGTGTCCATACAATAATTTACTTGCATATAAAAATAAAGAAGGAAACTAACAAAGCATGGCTGTGCATCACTGAGATGCCTACAATTATTAATGCTTATATATGGATGTCACTACAAGCGGGCACATATCAGGCTAACTGCTCTTATTACACTTCACAAACACTTGGGACATGCATCCTGTTGACCTTAAATTGTCCGTTTCCTAACTTGGAAGCATTCCTAAAAGATACAACCACCTCAACAATTTATTTCCCATCAACGTTGGCTTGCTATGATTTTCCTTGTCAAATATAATCCAATTTCTATTTCTTAAAATTTCCCGATCTTGGGAAAAGGCAACCTAGCATTAACTTCATTAATGATGCACGATGTAAGCGAATGTAACAAAAAACTAACCCAAGGCCGGCTTTGTACTTGGATCATTCTATCTTTTAATACAATGATGCGCAGCTCTCCTTGCATTTAACTTGAATGAAAAATGTGAAACTCTCCTTTTGGTTCAAATTTTTTTCTCAAGCAGTTTTGGTTCAAATTATTATTGCTATTAATAGATTATGATGCGATTGAGATTGAGAGTGGATTTTTCCCCCCTCATGCTTCCTACATCTCAATTTTATATTATGGATAATGTAGGAACCAACTCGTCCTGCCATACCAATACTTCTAGCTGTTGGTGCCATCCACCAGCATTTGATTCAGAATGGTCTCCGAATGTCTGCTTCTATTGTTGCTGATACTGCTCAGTGCTTTAGCACACATCACTTTGCCTGTCTGATCGGATATGGTGCCAGGTATGAATTTATTGTCACCAGTAGATTTCGTTCAATAATAGATACTCTCTACATCCACAGTTGGAAGCCCATTGTGTCTTGCACATAGATTAAGAAGACTTTCAAATGACTATATTACCATTGGTTATTGGTTATTGTATTTAGAGCCTAATATTTAATGCATGCATGCAACCAATGCAAAGTGTGGATATTATCGGGCGTAAATAAGGAAAAACAACTTATTCTACATTGAAATATGAAATCAGCCTTACATTTGTGGACAATACCATTAAAAATCAGTGCCTTACATTTGTGAACAATACCATTAAAAATCAGTGCCTTACATTTGTGGACAATAAAAAGCATGCCCACATTCTTAATCTAACTTAACTTACGAAATAGATAAAAAAATTGCATACCCTTTAATTCATAGAAATCACAACACAATGATGTCTCCCTATAACATGTCTTCATGGTTCCACCTTTGAAAGCACTAGCATGTTACTAGGGTTTGAACTCTGGTGGGATTCATATTCCCATGACTATCATCATTCACCAGACCGTGACTTCAAATCATGGATAAAGGGTAGACCCAGTGCCGGAGGCTCCCATATGAGTGGGGTCTGGGGAAGGGAAAAACCGAGGCAAGCCTTCCCCCCGCAAATCTGCGGAGAGGCTGCTTCGAACCCACGACCTGGTGACTCAGTGAGACAGCTCTCACCACTGCACCAGACCTGCCCTTCACTTCAAATCATGGATCTTAGGAAATATAGCCATGGATCAACTGCACAATAGTAATGTTGAATATGACCAAAATATTGACGGAAGTACCAGTAGACAATGCTTATATTGGAGTTGGATCCTAGACTTGTGCCAAGACATCTGGGAATTCACCAGTTTCACATGTGCTTTCGGCTTTTCATCAACTTAAAATTAGGTCAACTTGTGTACTTATAAAAATAGGTTTAGTTTTGTTTTCGGTTACTTTAGCTTCTTCCTAAATATACTAATATTCATTCCTGTATTAGTGCTGTGTGTCCTTATCTGGCACTAGAAACATGCCGGCAATGGAGGCTGAGCAACAAAACTGTTAATTTGATGCGGAATGGGAAGATGCCCACAGTGACCATCGAGCAGGCACAAAGAAACTTTACCAAGGTATGTTTTCTAACTTACGACCTGTTTGTTGGATGTTGTTGTCCTACTGCCCCTACTCTTCTGAAGTCTGAGCATAGTTCAATCCAATATGAGCATTTTACCACATTTGAGCCCTTAGGTCCTTTTTGCATGCTAATTTTCTATGCCCGTATTGTCATTATTATTTGATTTTTGATGATTTGTCTGTCTGTTCTAGTTAACATAGAGTAAGATCTCACATTCCATTTTATTTAATGATACTTTTTGTTAATGTGTTCAATTGATGTACTTTCCAGGCAGTAAAATCAGGTCTGCTCAAAATTCTTTCAAAAATGGGTATCTCACTGCTCTCAAGGTCTGTCTATCTTTGCCATCCAGTTAACATAGTTATACTGTCGATATTATGAAGTCTGAATTTCCACTACAATTGTTTAATCCACACACATTGTTCGGACAGCTATTGTGGAGCTCAGATCTTTGAAATTTATGGTCTTGGTCAAGAAGTTGTTGATCTTGCCTTCTGTGGAAGTGTATCGAAAATTGGAGGTCTCACACTTGACGAGGTAGTTAAAATCAAGTAGCAAATGCCACAAAAATTGTCTAGTATTCCTATCTGCACTTTTTTTTCCACTTTAGCTCTTTTTTTTTTTGTTCTGGCACACTGTTTAGAAGGCCTCCCCCCTCTCCTGTAGTTGATTTACGTCTTATATCTTTGTGACTTACTAACACTTCTATCACTATCCTTGTAAAGCTGGGTAGAGAGACCTTATCATTCTGGGTGAAGGCATTCTCTGAAGATACTGCAAAGAGGCTAGAAAACTTTGGATTTATCCAATCCAGACCTGGAGGTAGTGTCTATCCTATAACTCATGCTAAATTTTATGTTTTGGATGCATGTAACCTGGCGTTTTCTTACAGTACTACATTGTTTTATCATGATGTGGTTTTTTCATGATCTTATCTGGTTTTGGTGTGGTATTGTATGCTATAACACATACTGTTGCATCACTAGTTTGTGAATTGTGATCTAAGTTTATTTCAGCTTTCCTAGAGATTTATCAATAAAGAAGTGTCTTCGTGCCTCATCCTGTCATGTAGCATGACAATTTTAAGCTGTACTCTAGCACATTTATTTTACTTGTGGAGATCTCTCTCCAGCAGTACTGCCTAGAATCAACTGCATAGCTAGCTTCTTTTAGTCTAGATTTAATGCCACCTTCTATCTTTCCCTCAAACATTCTATCTTCTAGTTAGTACAGCATAGTACTTGTTAGACGACATGCCTTGGGCCTTGTGGCCCAGGTATAGTTGCCAGGCAATGTGCCTTGGACTCCAAGTCTGGCATGTATTGTAGATTGACTTGTATTTGGTAAGGGATATCGGAGGACGGTTCTGTTTCTATAAGCCATATATACATGTACCATGTATCTCTCTAATCAATCTACTAATTATTGCCACATACTCTGCTTTCATGGTAATCAATCTACTAATTATTGCCATATACTCTGCTTTCATGGTATCAAAGCCAGAGGTCTCAGAGTTCGAATCCTTGTTAGCGCAATTAAATAAAATAATTGTTGCTCGCTCCTATTCCACGTCTGAGGCTTGAGGGAGCCTCCACGTGAGAGGGAGTGTTGGAATATAAGTGAATTGCCATCTCTCCCCATCAATTTAAGCTTTTGGGTTGAATTGGACGACAGTCTTCCTTGGTGACAACCTCATCTCCTGGTCGTCAAAACGTGAGGCCACTGTGTCTCGTTCCAGTGCTGAAGCCGAATATCGCGCTGTGGCCAATGCTGTTGCAGAAGCCACCTGGCTGCGACAGCTCCTATTGGAACTTGACACTCGCCTCCGCGTGCCACGCTGGTCTACTGAGCAATCCGGTTCAATACCAGTGTACCAAGCATGTTGAGATTGATCTCCATTTTGTTCGTGTGGCGACGTCCATGTTCTGCAGGTTCCATCTTCCCTACAGTATGCCGACATTTTCACCTAAGGGTTGCCATCTTCTGTGTTCACAGAATTCAGATCCAGTCTCAACATCCGAGAAACCGGTGTTTCAACTGCGGGGGCGTGTTAGACGACATGTCTTGGGCCTTGTGGCCCAGGTATAGTTGCCAGGCTATGTGCCTTGGACTCCAAGTCCGGCACATATTGTAGATTGACTTGTATTTGGTAAGGGATATCGGAGGATGGCTCTGTTTCTATAAGCTGTCCCTGTCCCTACCTACCTACCTATATATATATATACCATGTATCTCTCTAATCAATATATTAATTCTTGCCATATACTCTGGTTTCAGTACTGAATTATGTTTTTCTTTTGAATAGGTGAATACCATGCGAATAATCCTGAGATGACCAAGCTGCTGCACAAAGCAATTCGTGAGAAAAGAGATAATGCGTACACTGTCTACCAACAACATCTTGCAAGCCGTCCTGTCAATGTAAGTAGTGATCCTTCAGGTTGCTAATTATTGATTTTTTTTTTGGTTACCACGAAGCTCATAGTGTCTTTTTCCTGTAGGTTCTTCGAGATCTTCTTGAATTGAAAAGTGATCGTGCACCTATTCCTATTGGCAAAGTGGAGCCTGCAACCTCCATTGTTGAACGTTTTTGTACTGGTGGAATGTCCCTAGGAGCCATTTCAAGGGAAACACATGAAGCTATTGCAATTGCAATGAATAGAATAGGTGGAAAATCTAACTCAGGAGAAGGTGGTGAGGTGGGTCATATAAATTCCATTACAACATAGCTGATTATCTCTGTCAGGCTTTTCAAGTGGAATCTGCAACACAGAATTGCTTATGGACTTGTCATTTTGCACAGGATCCAATCCGTTGGAATCCCCTCACAGATGTTGTAGATGGTTATTCTCCAACACTTCCTCATCTCAAAGGTCTTCAGAATGGTGACACAGCCACAAGTGCCATTAAGCAGGTGGATTATCATAGTTCATTTCTTTTCAAGCATTTATCAACTTTACACTTTTTTGTGCTATCTGGTTCTTTCTCCTTTACCTTATACTATATATGTGAATTATAATCAATGCAAGTGTTACCATGACTTGCTACATTGGGAAAGCTCACACACTGTTGGATATATGCATTTTTTTTTCCTAAAACGAGGGGAGCTAACCTTAAAAATCTTCTGTGATGGAGAAGCATTTACTGTTTGCCAGTGAACTGCCTAGACATTGGTACTGCTGCCATGTGTCTGTTCCCCGAGAAAGGGATCTGGTCATCTGGAGATCTGTCTAGATGTACTGGAACTCCTGGGCCAGATATTAGTGAGATACTAAGTAGCAGCTCTCAAAACAGGAAACTTCACAGCAGCATATTTCCTTATCTCTTTTTTGTTTATTGTTCTTAACTACAGCAGCGTTATGTCTTCTTTCTGGTGGACTAAAATATTTGGCCTAAGTTTTCATTAATACTATTCTTTTACAGGTTGCATCTGGGCGTTTTGGAGTTACACCAACATTTTTAGTAAATGCTGACCAAATTGAGATAAAGATTGCGCAAGGTGCAAAGCCTGGTGAGGGGGGTCAACTTCCTGGGAAAAAAGTCAGTGCATACATTGCTCGTCTGAGGAACTCCAAACCTGGAGTTCCTCTAATCTCCCCGCCTCCACACCATGACATTTATTCTATCGAGGATCTTGCACAGTTGATTTATGACCTCCATCAGGTTTGCCTTCTGAGTTCTGACTATTATTGGTGGAATGTCAATTAGTATTATTGATATTATAGGAGAACCACAACAGCTTAGAAATGATAGTTTTCTGTGATACTAGGAAGAAATTGGGTCCCTTTGGTTACGTAGTGGTTCTACGCCAACTAGTTATGAAGTTTACGGTTTCTGGTTCTTTGTACTAATGGAGTTATGCAATTAATATCTGGCTGAACAGATCAATCCTAAAGCTAAAGTGTCCGTAAAGCTTGTGTCTGAAGCTGGGATTGGAACTGTAGCTTCTGGAGTTTCGAAGGGAAATGCAGACATAATTCAGGTTATTGAAGTTCTTTTTAAATAATTCGTTCATAAACTTAACTCGTGCTTTCAGTGTGCAAGAATATTCACATAAACTGACTGCGGCTAACTTCTTGTACATCTTTGTATCTAAACTTCAGTAAGGTTCTAGTTGTTGTTTTTTACTATGTCATGTTACTGGCACTCGCTGTGTGCAATGTGCCATTCATGGTGATAGAACTTCCCCTGTATAATCTATAGTTATCTATATATATTTGCTTACAAAAAACAAATGTACGGTAAAATGAGCTATGAATTGAAGCATATCCGGGGAAATTTTTTCAGATATCTGCTAAATCTTCTGAAAATTTCAGCAGGATAGTCTTATCCAGAAATGCCATAAGCTGACATGCCTATCATAATTACTGGATGAATGCACTAAGCCTAATAATACTTCAATTCAGTTCTAAATTTAACGGAATGCTGCAGCATTTCAGGACATCATACTATGAGCTCTTATTCAATTGCTTGCAAATGGTTCTCTCAAAGGCCTGCTGTATTGGGTGAATTAGAGTTTTATGTGTACTTATTTTTGTCTTCTAAATAACTGTTCTATTACACAGATATCAGGTCATGATGGTGGTACCGGAGCTAGCCCAATCAGCTCCATCAAACATGCTGGGGGTCCTTGGGAACTTGGTCTTACAGAAACAAATCAGGTTTCCTACATTTTTTTGGCTGTAACAGTTTTCCCATGAAATTATTTTCTGTTTTGTAATGCTAGTTAACTTCCTCCAGACACTTATACAAAATGGATTGAGAGAGAGGGTAGTACTTAGGGTGGATGGTGGATTCAGGAGTGGTCAAGATGTTCTTATGGCTGCTGCTATGGGGGCTGATGAATATGGCTTTGGTTCTGTAGCTATGATAGCTACTGGGTGTGTCATGGCACGCATTTGCCACACAAATAATTGCCCAGTTGGAGTGGCTAGTCAGGTAGTAACAACACAAGTTAGTTTACCTTCCTCTTATTGGACTACCTCTTACATTCTTTGCTCTTGTAGAGAGAAGAGCTTCGTGCAAGGTTTCCTGGTGTTCCTGGTGATCTTGTTAACTACTTCCTCTTTGTTGCTGAGGAGGTATGTCATGATTCTCATTACTGATGCTGTTTGTCTTAGCCTTGTTCCTTGATTGTTCCAAGACCTGCCTATTTTTTAGGGATAATTGTAACTTTTGAAAATTGGTTAATTCATTTAGGTTCGAGCTGCATTAGCTCAGTTGGGTTATGAGAAGCTGGATGACATCATTGGGCGAACAGATTTGCTTAAACCAAAGCATGTCTCGTTGGTGAAAACACAGCACATCGATCTTGGATACCTCTTATCAGTATGCATTAGCAGCCATTATTATTTGAAGCATTAGCATATCTTCCATGTGCTTTCTATTTAAATCAATGGTTTTTGCATCAGAATGCTGGATTGCCCGAATGGAGCAGCTCCCAGATTAGGAGCCAGGACGTCCACACTAATGGCCCTGTTCTTGATGAGACAATCCTTGCAGATCCTGAGGTAGTGTTTTTGATAAGTTCTCTTAGTTACATGGACTAACTTGACTAATGGCTGTCCACTAAACCTGATTTTCCAGTATCATCAATCAAAGCAGCTCATCATTCCATGTTCATGAAACTAGAACTGCTGTATTTATGGTCCATGCACAGCCTTAACCTGTCTAAAATGAAGTGCGGTTGCTAGGAACCCAAGTTTTATCTGCTTGGAGCACCATTATTTATATTATCTAATTTGCAGATAGCTGATGCGATTGAGAATGAGAAGGAAGTTTCCAAGGCGTTTCAAATCTATAATGTCGATAGAGCTGTCTGTGGTCGGGTAGCAGGTGTGATTGCCAAGAAGTATGGAGACAGAGGTTTTGCAGGCCATCTCAACATCACGTATGTTCAAAATATCGTTTTGCATATGTTTATTTATAACGAAAGTAGGAACTTAATATTTTTGGACGTTTCAGGTTCAATGGAAGTGCAGGGCAGTCCTTTGGTTGTTTCCTGACTCCTGGAATGAACATTCGGCTAGTTGGAGAGGCCAATGATTATGTTGGAAAGGTACTAAATATTAAACCCTTGAAACTTTTGTCTGGGCAACTATATGAAATCTGAAACCTTTTTTTGATATTTTTCAAGGGTATGGCTGGTGGAGAACTGGTGGTAGTTCCTGTAGACAAAACAGGATTTGTTCCTGAGGATGCTGCTATAGTTGGAAACACTTGTCTGTATGGAGCTACAGGTGGTCAGGTATTTGTGAGAGGCAAGGCAGGAGAAAGATTTGCAGTTAGAAACTCTCTATGTCAGGCAGTGGTTGAGGGCACCGGAGATCATTGCTGTGAGTACATGACTGGTGGTTGCGTAGTTGTACTTGGCAAGTAAGTAGAACCAACAGAATTCTCTTTTGGCAATTGTCTCCTTTTCCTCACATCCTTACACATGCATATTTCTTAATTTACAGGGCTGGGAGGAATGTTGCAGCTGGAATGACTGGTGGCCTTGCCTACATTCTAGATGAGGATGATACACTTCTCCCAAAGGTTTGCAAACTCCAAATTTTGAGTTTGCCTTGTGTAATTCTTTTGACATATTTGTTTTTGTTTGTTTGCCATTGACATGACACCACATGATGTGATTTCTATGACTTTTTTTTAAAAAAAAACAAATGATTCCTATGAAATTCATGACATAGAACCGGTTTATGTTTTTATAACTTTCTAATGTCTTAATAATAGGTTAACAAGGAAATCGTCAAGATGCAGAGAGTGAATGCTCCAGCTGGGCAGATGCAGCTAAAGAGCTTGATTGAGGCCTATGTTGTAAGTGAACTGCTTTTCTTTACAAGTCGTGTATCAAATGTTGTCTATTCCCTTAACTTTTGCTAATTTTTTATGTGTTTCAAAAGGAAAAAACGGGCAGCGAGAAAGGAGCCACGATTTTGAGGGAATGGGAGGCATATTTGCCGCTCTTCTGGCAACTGGTACCGCCCAGTGAAGAAGACTCGCCTGAGGCTTGTGCAGAGTTTGAGAGAGTACTCGCCAAGCAAGCAACCACCCAGCTGTCTGCGAAGTGATCGAATCAGACTACAGGAAGGTGTTCTCTATTTGATACTCCTCGCAAAGTGATTTCCTCTGATCGCTTCAAGGAAACTGAAAACCGTAACCGGCATACTGAGGCATCGAAGTGCCCTTCTGAAGAATGCAATTTTGTGGAGGCTCTGCCCAGGCCATCTTTTGGAACTGAGCTAGCAGAACGACCGCGGGTTCTTCTCGACGCTCGTGCACCCTAGGTAACCCCTGTAAATTGGTTTGCTGACGCTAGGTTGCAAAGGCCCTCTTTGAACTGCTGCACTGTACAGATTCTTGGCTGTTGCCCTGTGTAATTATGTTTTGGTTTAGATTATACGCGTCCAATGGAGGCATGCAAGTCGCATGCGCAATAGTACAGTAGGACTACATGATAAATTGTACTACCAAGATGGATTTGAATGTTTGCTTCGTGAATGAACGAAACTGATGCTCGAGGCGTCATGCCCGTGGTGTGATCGCTCTGATTTGTGAAGGTTGGCATCCAATGTTTCTTTTGCAGAGGCCGGAATCCAACGGTTTCTCTTAGCAAAGGCTGGAATCCAATGCTTGGCGCGGTAACATTTATTATTGTCATTGACAAGTTGAATTTTCCACTGTACAAAGTTAACAAGAATTCCGTGATCTGCCGCTGAAAAACGTTGAGTGGTCCAGGGAACAAATGTTCCATTTATATGCAATCCCTGCTGAAGAAGGCTTGTGCCGTGCGATACAACTATACAAGTGTGGTTATATTTGTTTGTATAATTGTATTCCAACCATTTGATAGCCACTTCTTGTGTTCTCACCTTAACTCGAAGGCTCTTTTACTTTCATAGCCACTTGTTGTGTTGTCAGAAAGTGGATCTAAAAATTTCTTGATTCCGCTCTTTTTGGAGGTTCCCCATGACGTAAATGGTCAAGCCATTGAAACGTGAACGGCCAAGCCATTGAAACACCGCCTTTGCTCTTGTTATCCTTTTGTGTTGTTGCTTTCCACCAACCACCTACAAGTGGTTTCGTAGGGATTGAAGGGGAATTGAAGGAATTACATCCTCTACAAGTCAAAAGTCACACTCATTCCCTCCAATCCCCTTGTGAAGGGAATTAACCGAACACATGATTAGACTCGGGCGTCCATGCGGACAGACGGGACCAACCCACTCGCGCTGCTCTCCCACATCGCAAAAAAAAAAAAAAATGAAAAAAAAACCATCGACACGCACTCCGCTCGGTACCCGTAGCCGTCGCAGGTGACACCGCCGCTCTCACCATTGCCGGTCGACGACGACGCTGGCTCCACACTGTTCGCGTCTCTGCACCAGCCTCCCCTTCCTTTCTCTCCCTCTCCCGACGTGGCCCAAAGCGCGGTCACCTCCGCGCGCTGCGCACGGCCGGCCTAGGGGTGCCCCAACCGTGCGGTGTAGGCGGGGTGGCCGCTCGCTCGCACCGCGCGCCTCCGCCCCACTCTGCCTCGCTGCTCCTTCCACCAGATCCATTGCGCAGCGAGAGATCCGATGGTGGTGGGGACTATAGCGCTGGCTGCGGGGGGCTGCGTGTCGAGCCCACGATACCAGCGGTCACAAAGGGGTCCCTGCTGGCCTCATAGTAGGCGGAGTCCATCTGGTCGATGGTGGCGACAGCGCAACTGCCTCCGGTGAACTCCACACGCTAACGAGTCTCCATTTCGCAAGCAGCAAGGAGATGTTGCGATGTGCTGAAAGCACATGTTGCAAGCGTATGTTTCAAGTGTTTCGGATATTTAAAGGTATGTTGCAATTGTTTAAGATGAATGTTGCAAAAGTAGATCAGAATATTACGTATGTTGCAATGGTTGTACACATATGTTGCAAAGGTCTGTTTTCAACGTTTCTTCTATGTTTTTGGACGTATTGTTGCAAGTGTGTTTATTTGGATGTTGCATACGTTTCACACATATGTTGTAGGTATTTTATCTGGATATTGCGTATGTTTGCAATGGTTTTCAAGTGTTTTTCATGCGTTTTTGCCAGTGTTTTAGAAGTATGTTTGAAGTGTTTCATTTGTCTTCAGACATGTTGTAAGTGTTGCATCTTGATGTTTTAAAAGTAGATCGGGTGGTGTATATGTTACAAATTGCAATGCACGTGAGAAGCGGAGGGGATGCAAGCGGTGCCCAGTCTGGTGGCACAGGCCCCGCATGGGCACGTGAAACCCAGGAGAAAGTGAGGGAGTGCTGTTTTTTTTCAAGCGCGGATTGCTAGTGCGAGTGCGGCAAACTGCAGCGCGGGTGTCCAAACATGGGCCTCTGTCCGGACTCTAGTCGTCCCGTTTCGAAAAGGCAACAATTTTTTGAAGAGTGAAAAGGCAACAATTGCCTCCCCTGCATTGGAATATAGTCCACAAGAAGAAGAAAAGACGCATCTATATTGCCAAAACATATAAAAACCGTGTCACAATCACCTTAACTCATTACATACAATAGATACAAAAGCAAAACAAAATCACGCTCGAAAAAGTCTGCTGCAAGCACTAGCAGAACAAGTGAAGGCAAGGGATATACATTCTCGCTACCAGCTTGCTTCTACAAAGATAAAAGTGAAACAAAAAAGAGATTCTATACCAAGAATATACAGAGACGTGGTACTGCAGCAACTGAACAACCCCCTACCTTGGGCTGTTCCAGGGTGACGAAGGTTTGAATGGGAAACCATGGGACGTGGATCCATGCCCTAAATCGAGGCTGTGGAGCTGTTCCATCAATTGTGACCGTCGTTCTTTGAAGAAATCTAGCCTGGTTGTTAGTTCAACCAGAGTGGATGACGGCACAGACGGCGGTCTTCCATATTCGACACCCTGCTGCAAATCACAACAGGAGACTGAAAACTCAAACTCAAGTATTTTTTTTTCCTGAAAAACGTTAGTACAGCATAATAACCAGGGGTTTCTCTTACTTCTGTTGTTCTGGGGATGTTCACCAACATTGGCCCTCCCTCTGCAGGCACACTTGTTGATGCCTCCCTTGAATCACTCAAGGAGGTGTCCAAGGAATGCTTTAGGGAGAAAGGCCTTGAAGAACCATGAGATAGCACATGCTGCTTGATGCTTCTCCAGTGGGATGTGCTCGGCAAGCTCTCCTGTCAGAATATCAGTGTGTCTTAGAGTCATCTGGCTATAATTCAATCATTGACGTTTATATTTCTCTTAGAACCTGGGGACCTAGATGCATGGAAAATTAACTGTAACTGTCTATTATACTTAGTGTTTGATCTACTCAAAATGGTTGCTTAGGGTCAAACACTGGACAGCGCGGCTAGTCCCAGCACTGCCCCTATAATAAGTAGAGCTGATTGAGCTTGTAAAATACTACTATTAAAGTGCAACCATGGAGCTCATGTCAACTAACTTGTGCTTTGATTTTCTCAAGTTGTATAAAGTATAGCAAGACAAGAGATTTGTAAACAGCTAACCTCATTTCTTTGCTTCTTCTCTTGGTTACAGAAAGCAATGCTCCTATCAAATCCAGTTTGGACAATGTTCCTGGTAGCAGTAAAATATTGCGTATTCAATGAATTCCAACTTGTAAAAATAATTAGGGAATATGATACATCGAACAAGCTTACAAACATTCTGCATTTGTTACTAAAATATGTAGCTCCGAAATATTTGGACTTGAAGGCACATATTCTAACAACAGCTGAAAAGAAGAATAACATATTGTCTTACTGCAGAGAGATGATTTGGAAGGTGTTGAGGACGATCATTTGCATCTGCTGAAGAGCTATACTGGTGCTGGCGCTGTTGATTGAGTTGGAGATGCAGCTCTGCAACCTTCTGTTTTAATCTTGCAACATCAGCTTCTGCGAGAGCAATTTCCTCAAGCTCTGCCTTTGTCTAAGGAGAAGTGCATAGAAAACAGAGGACACCACAAAATAAGCCCAGCAAGTATGTAACTGTCGAAGAACAACTTGCTTATGATTTCAGTACCTTTGAGTCCATGGAGCGCGAACTAGAAAATTGTGAAGAAGACATGCTTAGTCCAACCTCCAGTGCAGCTCTAAGATCCCTTTCAGCCTGTAGCTGTTCTTGCAACCTTGACACCTAGTGAACAAACAAGTGTGATCATACTCAGCACCAAACTCTCAAAAAGAGGCACTTGCAGTTTAAAAATGTTATGTGGACAATTGTCTAAAGCTGTTTGCAACAAAACAAAATGTAACAAATATGCACACAACAAATGGTTTCTGATATATTTTGGATGCATAAAAGCAGACAAATCGATGCTAGTTGAATAAGGCATACATCCTGTTCCAGAGCCACACGCCGCTCATGTAGTGCTTGTTTTCTTCTTTCCAAACTTGCCTGTAGGATTGCATTACCTCTAGCCTGAGAAACATATATAGTTAGGTTGCAGGATTCACCACTGATGCACATGCAGTCTTCTTTTCCTTACCTCCTTTGCAATCCTGATCTGCAAGTCATTCTTCATTACCTCAAGTCGTTGGATAGCAAGCCTGCAATTTTTTTGGGGGTAGTTGGCATAAATCATGTAATTTTTTAGGTGAAATAGCTTTAAGAATCGAACTCCACAGTACAAAACAATCATGTAAAAATGTAAATTTAGTCTGCAGCATGACTAGGAACTTACTCTTCTTCACCTGATGGATCAACTAACTCCGACCGTTGGCCCTTTCTCGCCTGCATAAGCCATATGTGCAAATCAGTAAGGTCAACGTACTACAGTCGATCATTATAGAAAAACATTTCCAAGAATAATCTGAAGAAAATTAGTGTGCTATAGAAGCGTGTCTGGTAATGTCTTCCCTAAGAAAACCATAATTTTTGGTGGAAGATATTACAGAACCATAGGTCTAGCTATGTAGCATTAAAAAAAATGAACATATGAAGGGAAAAGCAGTAGAAGAGCAGACTTATTGCTTACATTGCTCCGTCCCCATAAGTTAGTACGCTTCACATGCTGCTGAGTTCCATTGAGTTTGCTAGAGTGTCTGTCATTGGAATATTCAGCTGCACGACCAGGTAATGGAATTCCAGCATCCAAAGACAGAAGAATCTCTCCCACTGATAATGAAGTTTCATGAGTGGACACCAGATTTGATGGATCCTTTCCATTTTCTGTTAAACGACTTAGGGGAGCATCATTTAAATCTAAATTTGATTCAAATGTGTTATCCTCAACAGAGAGCTCAGCGTCTGAATTTTTGCCATTAACTTCCTGTTGTCCATGCAATAGAGTAGGAAAGCAAATCGTGTTATGACATCAACAAATGAACATGCTACTCAAATAAAAAAATAAAAGTATAATCTAGCTAAGCTTTAGAAGGGGATACAATCTAGATAAACATGTCTAAAACATGAGCTACAATATGTTAAACATATTCAATAACATATGTCCTCAGTGAAAATGTAAGTAAACTTTTCTTTACATTTTCCCTCTATCGCCTTAAAAATATAGAAGGCAAGTTCATGGCTAGTAGCACAATATGTCACTACAGACAAACCTTGTAGTCATAGAGGTCAGCACGGGCACTTGCACTGGTTTCACTCAATTTTCCACTCAGTATTCGCTCGGCATCATCTAATTCTTGATCTACATCATTTTCTGCATCATGAAACCCATTATCCTTGATATCCACAGTTTCATCATCAGTTGATTCTTCACTTCCACTATCTCCTGTTTGAGAATCAGGTGATAAGGAGCACCTAAAGTGCTCATCCTGTAAAAATAACAAACATCAAAGGTAATGTAACGATGTGGTGTGTATTGTTTACGTTTATCACGCACATATATGGTTAGACAGAAGAGGAACTAATGGTGCATGAAGATGAAGAGTCAAAATACAACGCAGCTGCAACATGGCATGCTTTATTAGCACCCTTATAAAATAATAATAGTAATTATTATTACTTCATGTGCACATACAGAAATCAATCACATGCAATAATGATAAATATCTTGTACAATAAATGGAGCAAAAACTATACAATTGTATCATCTTATGTTGTCCATAATAATAGTATAATCATGCGTATATTAAGGACACTGGGATAGCACAAGAAACTCACATTGAATATACTCTCGTATTCCTCTAATAGAGTAGTTACAATGCCTTGAGCACTGTTAGCAGCATTTGCAGCGGCAATAAGCTGAGCAGCACTGTCACCACTCATGTCAAAGTCATCTTCCATCTCGCATTCACCAGCAAGAAGGGGCCGCAACAAGAGTGGGGCCATACATGCAGCAACTGCTGATGGAGTCATTCTATTCTCGGCAGTATGAGAAGCAATGGTATGCATCATTTTCAAAACTCTGCAAGCATGGACTTGTGATTTAGTTAAAAAAACAGCCTGATATATGATATCATAAAGTGCAATTCCTAGAATTTGATGACTGCATAAAACTACAAGTAAATGCAAAGCTATATGTACATTTAGTAAAGTTTGGAATGTATGTCTTCTATCGCTTCAAATTGCATACTTCCAAAAAGGAAAAATGTTCAGCATAAGCTTGAGCAGACAAGGAAAGCAATTTAGAAGTACTGTCCAGGATTATATGCTATCAGGTAAAATAGAATCCAAACACAAAATATAGCCATGTGGAGAAGAATAAGCTAACCTCTGTAGCAGCCGCCTATTAGGCTCGGGAAATGTTTCAGATATTGCTGCACGCATAGATTTGATCCGAGATTCCTTGACTTCCAGACCTAGGCAAGTACAGAGGAAATGAAAATGATATGCTGAAGATAAGTATATGGAAACAAAGAAAGCTGTAAAATCTACAAAAATATCAGCCAGGAAACCAGGTTAGCTCTAACTAATCTGGTCACTGCATATTTGCTTGAAAAGAAAAACATCTTGAAATCTCATATGTTTAACTGTAGGAACCTATGATAATATGCATTGGCCATGACAGGAGTGTGCTGCGAACAAGATGAAAAGATGTACATAAATACAACAGCTCGAGTAATACAGTTATTAAGTTCAAACAAGACAAGTCGACACAACACCCTCCATAACCAAGGAAGCATATTCAGATTAACATGAATAGAACACTTACGGAAAGCTTCCAATAATGCTGTACAGCAGGAAGCTGGAACAGGAGAAGATGGAAGCTCCCGGAGAACATGCTGCAGATACATCATACATGTATACATTCAGACAGTGGGCAAGCACGAAGAGAAAAACTATTGGAACTCTTTACATTAATCTTTAAAACAACACATGACGATAATTACAGAAAAGTACCTTTACGCAGTCACCAACAACATGAGCATCCTCTTCTGGTGCAAACTCTGTCCTTCCTGGAATGGAAAGATACAAACACATATTGAATTATACGTGCAACCAAACTGAAACTAAAAATCAAAATACAAACTAAGTAACCACAAAAACCTTGCTCATATTCTTGCAATCTCCTGTCAACCTCCTCCACATCTGCAGCTTGACGCAAAATTCCTTCCACCTTTATTCCTGCAAGAAATTATTCATATTTCAAACAAAATATTTACAACAGTAAAGTGCAGCAGGTTCCAAAATTTGGTGACAATGAACATTGCTTGGTCCTACCATGTTTCTCAAGGAAACACAAAGCTTTTTCCAGAAAAGAAGGACTGCCATCTATATCTTCCAGTGCAAACAGTATTGGCCTGCCAACAACTAGTGATTTGATAGGTCTCCTCTCTCTCCCTGCAGTCAGTAGAGAAAACATATGAAAAAAAGCAGACATATATTAAGTTCATAGAGAAGAGAAGCAGGTCACATGATAGTATAAACTGTAAGGGAACCAACAATTCGGAATAGCCCCTTCATATACATCTGTTGTGTCATTGCGAAAGATTCCATTATGCCCCATCACAAGAGCTGCATTTGGAGCTTGTGCAAGAGCTTCTTCCAGTGCTGTTTTCCACTCGAATAAATCTTCAGAACTTTCTGCCTGTATATTAAAAAAGGAGGCATCTTATATAAAAGTTGAAGAGGCACTACAATGCATGAAGCATAATCATAAGGCTTATAATTGAACTTTTGGGTTTGCTCGAGTGCATCAAACTGTTTAGGAGAAAGGTAAGCATGTGTACCTTCAAGGTGAAGGCACGGCCATCACGGCCATCTGGAAAAAGAACAGTCAGCAGCCTTTTGTCTTCCCTGACTACTACACTGCAAATGAGTGCCAAATACAGCAAAAAATAAGACACAGTAAGTTATTTATCTAGAGAGAGAGGCACACAAACGACAAACATCTTTAGTACATTAAGCATGACCACTCAAGATTCAAAAGAATATTTGTCAAATAGACACATACCTCCCAGAATTACTAAGGTCAATTCCCCCCAATGTAAGGTTCACTTCACCACTTCTCTGCGGTAATGTACTCTAAAAATGCCAAGACTAGTCACTCATCAAGGAAATAGAACTGAGTGCTACTGTATAACTCATAAACTATATAATTATATAAAGGGAAACTATGACAATGAACATAGTTACTATAAACTTTCTATGGCACAAGTATACCATAATTTACATTGTGGGCAAAGAGCAGAGATACTAACAGGATCACTCTTGAAGAAAACCAGTGACGTTCGTGTGAGGATGAACCAACGCTTTTTCCATGATTTCCATCCGATTCCTAAAATATTGTGATTGTAACACTGTTACAGTCTGGAACCAAAGGAAAACAATGTGTGCCGCTAATAGTTTTACCTTTCGATGATATGAAGAGAGGGCCACTCTTAAATACCTGCCAGAAGGTCAAGACATGTCAGAAACACTGTAATAGTAACTGTAAATACAAAAGAACAGATTTAAGACAAAGCAAAACATCAAATGTTTTCTTGTCCAGAATTCTTGTTTCAGATAGAAAAATCCAAGTCCGATTGAAACAAGTAGTAAACAAAACACAACAAAGGGTCAATGAAAACCTATGTGTCTAATGTACCACACCACAAACTCACAACGTATACAGGTTAACAAGTAATGTAAACAGGCTGCTATCCTGCACCCTCTCTAGTCTCTAGTCTCTACTTACATGGCATCTCTTCTTCATACGACATCACTCATCCCAGGGGATAAAAAAAGCATACGCCCGTGTCCTCCAACATTTCTGGTAGCAATTCAACAGGGCCAATATCACAAGTTCACTGTACAAAACATCGGAACGCCTCCATCACGTACGGAGACTCCCCAAAAACACTTCACTTCACATTTCCGCAGTCAATACCGCCAACTCCTACACGAATTTGAGGCTCGCATGAAAGCCAGGCGGACACCGCTCACCAGGTCCATCACTGTCCAATCCAACTAAAACCCAGGGAGCATCAGCAGCAGCAGAATCAACCGAAGCAAGCTCATCCCCCATCGTCCTCGCTCGCGCGCTCCGCCGCAGGCAGGCAGCAGCCACCACCCGCCCATCCATGAAACGTCCACCCGACCCGAACAGCGGCGGCTGGTCATCCCCGCAAGCGAGAGCCCAAAAATCCCACCACCAAAAAAACCAGCAGACTACCAACCATAGCAAGGCACGGGACACCAAACGCACGGCAAACTCCAGCAGCAGCCCGGGCGGGCACGCGGCCGAGAACACGCGCGCGAGGGAACCGGGCGACTCACCGCGTTGCCGGTCGCCGACGCCGCGCCGCCGCGCGCCTGCCTCTCAGCCGACCCAGGCGCCGCCGAAGCCGCCATCCCGTCGTCCGCCTCCTCCTCCTCCTCGTCAGATCGTCCGCATCAACAGTGACCCGGCGCCGCAGCACGGAGGACACCGAACCAGCAACCACGCGGCTTAGCAGCTACCACGGCAGCCGCAGCGGCAGCATTGGATCCGCCGCGATCTGCCGCACTCGCGCGCGCGTGCGTGCGTGCGGTGGAAGAGTGGGGTGCGGGAGCGTGGATTAGGCAGCTTGCGGTGGTGGTTAGGATTTGGGGCCGCTCGCTCGGGTTTTCGCCCCCCGCCCCGCCCCGCCCGTGGAGTGGAGGTGGGGCGCGTTGGTGCGTGGTGGTGCCGCCCTCTCTGTCTGTCTCTGCTCCGTCGGGGCGTGAGGCGACCCCGCGACAGCGACGGGGGTTGGGATTACGCGAGCGAGGGAGGAGCGCACGGACGCACGAACGCACACGCGCTGCCGCCGCTGCGGCAATCACCTTCACCTCACCGCTCGCCGCCTCGCCCCCGCTCCCTCCGCTCTAAGATATCTCAACTCAACTGGTCAGGCAGGCTGGCAGCCGCGGATGGATGGATGGATGGCTCGTGGACTTTTGGAGTCATCCGGAGTCCACAACTCCACATGGCAGCTTGCGCCGGAAGCCGCAGGCGTCCCTCCCTCTCCTCCAGCTCGGCCTCGGCTTGTGTGTGTGGTGTCTGGTGTGTGGTCTTAAGCTTTGTTAATTACTACCCTCCTCTGGATCTGCTTTAATCTCGTCCCGTTGTTTAATCGGGAAACTCCTGACACATCCTTTCCGATATGTGCCATCTCGTCTGATATAACACGCACGACGTGATCACTTTTTTTTTCTCCTTTTCAACAACATCGATCGATTCAAAAATCAGGTGCCCTTTACGGGTTTTTTTCTTTTCAAACAACATCGATCCAAAAATCAGCTGCCCGTTACCCTTTTCTTTTCAAACAACATCGATTCAAAAATCAGATGCCCGTTACATGAGCACAGCTTTGCTTCTATAGGTGTATGGATTTGTATAATAGTGGTGTGTGTATATGATTATTAAAATTTGATCATAATTTTTTTTTGTTTTATTGTGGTTGCAGCTACATCTTAGGCTATACGTAATCCTGCTTGTGTGAGCACGGTTTGATAATTTTTTTTAATATGAAAAGATATTTGTCGTCGATATGCTATGCGTCATTTTTGTTTGTGGTAGAAAAGACAAACCAACCTAAGTAACCTCTTGATTCAATTTCATATAAAAAGCGGGAAAAATGGAAGAAAAAAAAAAGTGATCTTGGCAAATTGGATACCCTATTTATGAGAAACAACGAGCGCTGTTGGATTAGACCGATTACATTAATTCCATTCCTAACAAGTGTAGCTAGATCTGCCTACTATATATTATTAACACCTAAACAGAATGCCACGATTGCGATTAGAGCAAGTATAATAGCAGGTTGTAAGCATGCTGAATGCTGACGTGGAAGAGAGGAGAGAGAGAAGAAGCATGTTGTAAGCTTCCAGCCGGCCTAGACACAAGAACAAAAAACCTCTGTGAGAGAGATAGATGGGCCATGTGTTAATGTTGAAGAGCTAACTACTATACGAGTGGCCTGAGAGATAGGCTATAAGGATCCTTGCAGCCAGCAGTCGGTTGTAGGCATGTTCGACTGGTATTAAAGTCGGCTGAAGCTGTTTTGTTGTGAGAGAAAAATATTGTAGATTCTAGCTGATAAGTTCAAGGGAACATGCCATGTATTATTAGCCTTACTCTTAGCCGAAAAAATGCATGGTTCCTGAAAAGGGGGACATATTAAATGTGGTTGCCTTGCTCTTAGACCGTCTCCAACGAAAAGAACCCAAACTGGATACCCATTCGATACTATAGGTCACGTACAGTCAAAAGGTTACGGACGCAAATCTCACCATCTCCAACAGACGCCGAGCAGAGCAGCCAAATCCACCGCCTCCCTCCGTTCCCCTTCGCCATGTAAGGGCATGGCCATGATGGCGACGCCTTAAACAAGCCGCCATGGAGTCCGTGATCCCCACCTCCTCCTCCAGTGCTCCTCCTTCTCTGGGTAGCGCATTATACGATCGTCGGCCGGTACATGGGCAAATAACGTGTCGCGGATCGCCCGGCTTTTCTCGACTTATCTCGGATCGGGAAGGCGGCGCGGGCTCGATCCCACCCGGTGGCCCTCTCCTCCCCTCCAAAAGCGTGGCCTTGCCCAGCTCCCTTGTCGGTGGATCTCGTGGATCCATCGAGGAGGCTGCGGATCCGGCGGCCATCCCCATGGCGACCGCGGCCACGACACGGCTTCCCCTCCCCCCATGCCGACGGCGACTGCGGCGGCCTTCCCCCATGCCGATGGTGACTGCGGCGGCCCTCCTCCACCCTCGATGGCGACTGCGGCGTCCCTCCCCCACTACAGTGTTTTGCGTCGTCATTAGCTTCCAGGCGCTTTTTTGCCTTGCGACGTGTGCGCGTACGCAAAATGGGTGTTTGGATGCGTCCTCGGTTGGAGCGTGTTCGTGGGACGCAAAAACACTGTGCACGACGTATTTTAGGTTTGGGTTGCCCTTTGCCTACGCCGTTGGAGTCCGTCTCCGAAAAAAATGCATGGTTCCTGGAAAGGGGGACATATTAAGGCCCCGTTTGGCAGGGCTTCACTTCACTAGTGAAGCCATTTTTTTTGCTTCATCCCATCCCAAATCCTTGTGAGAGCATGTTTTTAGGGGCTTCACCAGTGAAGCTATTTCACTTTACCCCGTTTGGTAGAAAAGGGCTCCAAACGGCTTCTGAAGCTGGTGAAAAAGCCCTGCCAAACGGGCCTAAATGCGGTTGGACGCAGATGAATTCCTTTCCTACGTAGATTGGCCAAACGCGCCTAGGTTAGGCCAGTGGCACTAATTAAAAGTGATGAGATCCACCTTATATTATATTATAGATAGAATGTACACCAAACCGTCGTAACCAACATGCCAACACGCTGAGGAGAGTGCTGTGCTGGTATCCCATCCCGGCATGAAGTGTAAAGCACATATACGTTGCCCCAAGACTTGGTCCACATCCATGGCATTGCGTGTAGGATTAGGCAGCAGAGTAGGTGTAGGTGTAACCCCAGCACTCAAGAAACACACATATACTTGATTGATGCTTGCTAGGAGAGTAGGAGAGTAGGTACGGGCCAGCAGAAAAGCGCACAAGATTAGGCAGATGAAACCGACGGTTACTGTGTTTTGTTTAGTGCAGCGGTGGTCGCCGACTCGCCCTTGGCCGTAGCCTTGGCTGGACCTGGACCTCGGATTGGTGACCCTTTTGTTTGTGTTGGCCCCGTTGCAGCATTGTTTTCTTCTCCCTGCTCTGCTACAGCGAGCGAGCGCCGTGGCGGCCTGGCGGGCGGGGTTAGACGAGGGCCTTTCGGGCTGGGCCATCTGCGCTCACGCTCACACTCACAGTCACAGGAGAGGCCGGCCGGCCGCCCGAGAGGACCACACTGCTCGGAGCCGCTCGATCGGCTGGTGCCACAGCAGCGCCTTGCGTGGAGTAATTCGCGTTGGGACTTGGGAGCTTGTGCCTGGATGGTAGTTGAGGATCTGCAGGGGTGTGTCCTTTTGGTCCTCCACATGTTTCCCTTTTCATCATTCAAAAAAACCGTTTCGCCCTGAGCATCGAAGACGTGAACGTGACAGTGAGGAGGCTGACTCCGTGATAAATCCAGAGGAGCTTTTCAGATCAGGTGCGTGACTAAAACGGTTTATTATTGCTGGTCTGTAAAGCATGCTTTGGTGAAGATGGATGTACTAAGCTATTAGCTCGTTTACTTTGAGAGGCTGCAAATCATGATTGCGGATGAGTGTCGTATCGTATTCTGTATAAAAAAAAATCCCTGGTTCAGTATTCTACTCCTCAGATCGCACCATCAAATCAAAACCCCCAGCCACAGACAGACTGTGAGAAAACAACTGCCCGTGTACTTGCTGTAAAAAAGATTGTTCTCTGGACGCGCAGCAGAAAAACGATCTCAGCTTTGCCGTAGCCTGCCTCTAGCCTTTTTACCGACAAGATGCTTGCAGGCACCAGGCAGTACAATCACATTCACATGCGTGTGCGTCCAATCTTGTCATTTTGGACTACTCCTTGGAAGCAGCCGCATGAACCTTTGCAAAGAAATCTACGTATCTATCGAGACAAAAAGCTCACAAGCGTTCATATCTGTACGTCTTTGCCGGTTATTCCTTCGTTTGCTTTTAGGTGAAAATTCCAACATCTTTCTTTCACATGCACGCAGCCTCGTTTCTACAATTCTACTGCTTCTGTAGTGCTGTCCTGGTTCGTACATAGGAGTAGCCTCTCTTTGAAAAATAAAGACATTATATGTCTACATAACATAAACTATCATTAGTTTGACCAAGTTTATATAAAGAAAAATATTCATATTCATAACATCAAATAGGTATACTACAAAAATAATAATATTATATTCCGTATAACATAATAGTAAGCGGAATGGTACTAAATTGGTATCATCCATACGTTTTCTCCTTGTAATATAAATTTGACTAAACTTATGACTGTTTGACTTTTGCTAAATTTATAAGGCGGGGGTGTATGCTTTTGCGCAGCTTGTCGTCGATAAATCAGCAGATCAGCATAAAAGGCTCGAACAATGCTAGCAAACTCAGGGCAGTTCGTTTGTGGAAAATTCAGGACTAGTAGCAGCCCGCCAGAAACACATCTGTCAGGTTTTGTTGACCCCACACGACCTCTTTAAGTTTCGTGCACTGCACTCGGTTCCCTTTTCTCTAACGCTACGGCGCCACTGATGCACTTTCGATCTCAGATTTGTGTATTTCAATTAGTACGGCTGCCAGATTTAGTGACGGAGAAACAGTGAATGCGGCTTCAATCCACTTTAATCGTGTAAGGAAAGGAGTCAGGACGCATGCAACCTGGATTTACCATAGCCTTATGTACGGCCCTTGATAACTCGGCTTTAATTCTCTAGTATCAAGCTCTACTTTGCAGCAAAGAATTGTTTCACAGATTCCTATACATGAATATAAACCGTTTTAAAAAGAGATTTATTTTCATATAGGGCGTGGCTAGCGCTCGGACGTCCGGACGCACGCGCAGTCCGCCATCGTCCCGACCCCGTCCGCTTCGCCCCGCCCCACGCGCGCACTTCGCCTCATCTCTGCGCCCGCTGGTCAGCCCTGACCCCCTCCTCTCTCTCTCTCGTGCGGGCAGCACTCAGGAGCTAGGATGAGCAGATGAGGACGAGCACGCCCCGACCGCAGCACCACCGTCCACCGGCCCCCCGGCGCGCCACGTGCCCAGTCCACTTGCCCCATGGCCGTACAACATAAAAAAATTGCAGCATGAAAAACATTTGAATGCAACATACGTCTTAAAGTAGATGAAACATCTGGAACATGCACTTGCAACATGTGTGTGGAACACATGAAACGTCTAGATTTGCAATTTGCAACATGAAACCACTTGCTGCAACATAAGACTGGAACAGTTAAAACATTTAGAACATATTGTTGCAACATATGTGTGAAACATATGCAACATCCAGATAAAAAAAGATTACAACATACGTTTAAAACCAGATAAACATTTTGAACAAACGCTTGCAACATGCTTCTAAAACACTAGTAAGATGAAATAATTGCAACATACATCTAAAACGTGTGAAACACTTGAAACATACATATGCAACATAGGAAAGAGAAGGCCGGGCCAGTCGATTCTGGCCATCGGGGTGGGAGACCGCGGCGCGCGAGCACCACCGGCACCACCCACGCTCGTGGGTAGGGTTTTCAATTTTGGTATTCCAAAAATTTTGGCCACCACCGAAGTTTCTTTAGAGACTAGCACATGAAGTATGCTTTTTCTAAAGAACATTTAAATCTAAACAAATATTAGTATGATTTATGACCACATCTATTGAATACAAGAAAATGCAATAGAAACAATAAAAATTTTGAGTCTAAAGTTATATAACACATGTATTAGTGTATTAAAAAATTTCTGATTTTTCTTTCGGCCACCACCGAAATTACCGAATTTTGTAAAATTCGGTCGAAATTTTGCAGAAATTTTGAACCTTGCTCGTGGGTGCCCTTGGCTCGGCCGGGGAAGACCTAAGGCGCCACGACACATGTGCCCCAATGGCCATGGTGGGGTTAGCGGCGTGCCCAACGGCGATGGGCAATGAATGAACGACGAGGGAGCGAGCGACACATGTGACTGCGACGTACGTGAGCAATACAGGGAGCGAGGGTGCGCGGCGCGGCCGGCGACGGAAAAGGAAACGACGCGGCAGCCTAACAAGATCGCGCTGGAGATTTGTTTTTTGTTTGGGGCCCGCTCCTAGGGAGTCGTGTCCGGATGCAAGTCACGGACGGACGCCCTGTAGAAAGTATTACCGTTTCATATATAGGAACTTTCGAGAAAATTGACATGAGTTCTAATCTCTTTAAAAAACTTTCTTTTATCTATATCTCTCTCCTTAAATTCATACTCCCTTCGTCCCTAAATAGATGTCGTTATGAGATACGTGCAGGTCAAATTTTCTCAACTTTCACTAAGTTTGTAGGAAATACATGCAACACTTATATCTCCAAAAACGTTTATTATGGAAGTATATTCAACGATCTATTTAATGATACTAATTATGTATTATAAATATTAATACTTTTGTATATATATTTGGTCAAAGTTAAAAATATTAGACTTCTCGAGAAGTGAGAATGACATCTATTTTGGTAGAGAGAGAGAGTATGTTTTTCTTGTGCTATATCTAGATCCTTCACTTGAGTCTTCTAAATCATGAATTCTTCTATATTGTGATAATGTGATTCATAACCAACTCAGTTGTTTATTTTTCCGTTTCTTTTGAGTAAATTACATCCACCACTGTAAATATTAGTCCAATAACCTTTAAACTGTTCAAACTAATACAACAACAAAAAAGATATGCAAAAGTGTGGCAAAACATATGCTCACCCGTTAGACACTAAGGTTAATGGTGGGTCTATGGCGCGTGCTATGCACTTGAGGTTGGTGGGAAGTAGTTTAACATGGTTTTTGCAACTAAGAGAGAAACGTCACGAATCAGTTGCTTTACGATCACTTGAGCTACTAGGGATGGACCCTCATCATTGAGAACCCGATGCTGCTCCTCCTGAATATAGTTCGCGTCTATTGTGTTTTGAATTTAATCCTCTGCTCTAATCATGCCAATGTTTTTTTTATACAAGGATGATCGTTGGTTTACAACATAAATACGGTGCACTAATATTAGTTCGTGAACTTGTAGCAGTGAAGTCATCAAGCCATGGTGTTCTTTCATTTTTGTCGTAACAACTCTGTTCTTGGCATTTGATACAATTGCACCAAGTTTAAGTTTCAAGAATGGATGATCACGAATTTATTCTCCGATTCGGGAGCAATACCATAAAGTATTGTTAGGATTATGGCCATGACATATCGTGTGAATATTATTAGTCAATTATGTTTAGTAAGCCAACTGAAATGATCGAAAGTTTTTTTTGTCCGAAACAGGAGATTGAAATTTTGTAATGCAAAGGTGATCATTCTGTGTAACGTGCTGCCAATCCAACATTGTTTTAGGTTTGATGGGATCCTAACGCCTAGCCTAGCCAGTGCGAACTTATTTTGCCACACTAAAATTGTTTGGACCGTAAATACACTGAGTTCCCGGGTTGTTAAACTTATTTGAGAAGTTTATAAGTTGCTGGTAAGTTAGTGTATGTGGTCAATTTATTCTGTTCTTATTTCCGCTTTTCAGAGTCCTATACACTTGCAAAGTAGGCCGCTTCTCGCAGCAGCACCTTCCAAGGGTAATTCAACTAGGAAGCAGAGAGTACGCCTTCCCTGTCGCAACGCGTAGAGACGGCTGAGCAGCATTCTATGCGGAAAAGCGAAAAACGTAAAGAAAACGAATCAAGCCGCTAAAACCCTAGCTCCCCTGCCGAATGGTGGCCGCCCTCCTCCGCGCGCGACCATGCTGCTCCGCCGCCTCCTCCACTCCTCCCGCCACATCTGGCACGGCCTCCGGACCGTAACTCCGGCCACCTCCGCCTCCTCCTCCTCCTCCTCCTCCCCCTTCCATGTCGCCGCCTCCCGGACCTCCTCCCCTCGCGCGTCCTCTCCCCGCGGCCCCTCTCCACCTCCGGCCGCGACGACGACCGCAACAAGCCGTGGAGCTTCGCGGCGGACTCGGGAGATCCGGACCCCTTCGCCAATGAAGACGCCGACGCCGCTGGCGCTGGCGAGGGGCCGACGGTAAGATCGACGCGCGCCGCCGACGAGCCCTGGGCGACGGGGTTCGGCGGGGAGGACGGCGAGAATGGCGACGTGTTCGAGGGGATCTACAAGGAGGCTGCTTCGGCGGCCCCCGCTCGCGGAGAGTCGGCTCCGGCCGGCAATGACGAGCAGTGGACGCTGAGTGGGGACGACGAGGAGAAGGATCCTTTTGCCGCGGCCGTGCTTGGGGAGGGGATCGAGGGGATCCAAAGTGAGGGTGCTGGGCTCGATGACCTCGATGCTGGGGAGGACCCTGAGGATGAGCTGAAGCGGCAGCAGAACAAGGCGAGGGAGAAGGAGCTGATGGAGATACTCAAAGGTGATAATCTACAACTGATTTTGTGTAAATTGTGTTTTGATTTCTTTGTGGTGCAACGATCAAAACTGGGAGCATGATCTGGTTGTGTTCATGTGTGATGTTTTGGATTAGTTGGATAACTGATCAAGTGCTATGCTACACTTTGAAGTTACAGAATCGTATTCTGAAACGTAATAGTTTCCTGCATTTGGAACGAGAACTGCAAATGTTTGTTAGATATTGTGTAAGAGTGACCTGGTTGGAAATGCACAGCTGCTTGAGTGCTTGTGAGCTACGATACATTTCCTTAGTCATCTACTTTTGATGCCATCCATTTCAATGTAGCTTAAGCTTCACCAGTAGAGTTTTCACTTCAGGTGTAGCGTCCATCTTGTAAACTGCCCAATATAATAAGGTAGCATCAAAATGGTCAGATAGGTTATTTAATACTTCAGTGCTCATGATGCCTGTGCTGTTAGACTTGACTTATCGGCTATCACAGCTCTACCATGACCACGGTAGTTGCCTTTCATTTTTGGTTTAGTTTTTCTTAGGTATTTGGTTGGGAATGGTTACTTCTAAATCAGCACTACATGTAGATTTCAGTGTGGGTGAAATCAACATTTTATTATTGTAGGTCCTGATCGTGCATTTGTTGACAGTTCGTTGCCTTGCATTTTTTTGGTTTAGTTTTTCTTGTGGATTTGGCTAGGAATGGACATTTCTATATCAGTACTATGTGCAGGTGTCAGTGTTAGTAAAACCAACATTTTATGATTGCAGGTCCAAATCGTGCTTTTGGTGATCTCATTGCGGCCTCTGGGATCACAGAGGGAATGATTGATAGTTTGATCCTCTTGAAGGATGTCACAGACATTCCCGGATTGCCTCCCCTAAGTGAAATAGAAGATGAAGCTATCAAGAAATTGAATGCAACATCAAGCAGAGCTGAAGTTGAGCGCCAAAAGCAAGAGGACATTGCTAAGGCACGAGTAAGACAGGTTGATGAGAAAGGAAGGGCTTATGGAACAGGGAAAAGGAAATGCAGCATTGCTCGTGTTTGGATTAATCCTGGTGATGGTAAATTCATTGTTAACGAAAAGGAGTTTGATGCTTACTTCCCAATCCTGGACCATAGAGCTGAACTTCTACGTCCATTTACTGTGACCAACTCTTTGGGGCGTTGGGATGTGACCTGTACCGTTAAAGGTGGTGGCGTATCAGGTTAGTGTTCATAGTTTGTACTGCTATACTTCAATACATTTCTGCAATGGGCTAGGTGTCTTGACTTGTCATGATATTTTGAGAGTGGTGTATTAAAAATTTACAATTGTTCAGAGATGGGTGTGCTGAATTTATGCATTTGTCAGTGTTTAACTTGTGCATAAATGAATTCTTGAGTTTTGTATACTAGAATAAGGTCAGTAGTTCTGTACTAATATAAATTGTAAATTTTTCATGGATGTTTAATCTTGTATGTTCATACAACACCATTACATGCCATGGCATGGGTGTCAGTAAATTATTGAACAAATATGTGTATGTCTGTTTATAATTATTAGACAGAATATTATTGCAATTCTAGTTATTCTATTATATTCCGTGTTTTTTTTTCTATTGACTGCACATCCACCGTTTTCACATGCTTCATCTATTATTATATTTGTGGGGTTCTTGCACATATTGTATTTTATCGAATACTGCCCTTCAACTGTTGGGTTTCATGAATTTACTCTTTTCCTATGTGCTTAACTGATCATATATTGCACCAAACCTCTCCCTAACTAAACATATGCTCTCAAACGCAGGACAAGTTGGAGCTATCCGCTTAGGGATCAGCAGGGCCTTGCAGAATTCGGAACCAGGACTGCGGCCATATCTCAAAGCAGGTAAAATCAGATGGCTTTCACCACAACCCACGTTTATTGCCACATTATGCTCCCCTCGCAATGACCTTCTAGATGATTGGTGGCACTATGAAACTCCTGTTTTCTGGCAACCATTCACTTCAGAAGTACATTTAAGCGAATATTTAGTGCTGTTGTCATTTTACATTTCAATATGGGCCTTCCAAAAGTTGCTTACATCTATGTGTATGCACCGAAACAGCTGGATATTTGACGAGAGATTCACGTGTGGTTGAAAGGAAAAAGCCTGGAAAGGCGAAAGCAAGAAAGAGCTTCCAGTGGGTCAAGCGGTAACAGGTAAATTTGCTCTGTTTGCCAAATCGTCAAGGGAATTTGGTTTTCATGTTTTTAGGGGGATTCTGATGTTGACTTTCTTTAATGTCTCAGAGCCATCTGCAGGGCTGCATATTTTGTTGTGGCAGGTCTCTGCCCTTTGTTGTGGGTTTTCTAGTCAACACGGATCACTTGATCTGCTGTTATTTTCTGGAAGGTCCTTTTCAGCTTGATTCTGAAATACTCCAGCTTGTATCGATACGAGGACCATGCTACACCTTGGATTCTGTTTCTGAAACGATGAAACAGCAAATTGATCTAGAAAATATCGTTGACCAAATCAAGATCGAGAAGTTGCTTTGCAATGGGCTGCCAATAAAACAGGCTTGTGCCAATGAGACTAAATGTTCAGCTCAGAAGGAAAAACCCTTCTCGTCCCTTAGGATTTAATGGCTGTGAAACGGGTTTCGGATCTCAACTGATGATTATGATAATTTGCTTCATTTTTCTTCCTCTCCGTGTAAGTCCTTGCCATCCGAGCTGCAGGTTATCATATGACTATGGTAAAGGAATGATAAGCGTTCGTTTGGTGTCTGAAATAATAGAACCAGGCAAAATCCCATTCTTTGGCTTTGCTCGCTTCAGTTTTGCAATTGTTAACCTTTGAATTTCTGTGTCACCTGTTCGACATCAGGATGAATGAATGTAGGGCCATGTTTAGATCGCCCGAATCGGCGCCGACCGATTCACGGTAGCTACACTGCAGCTACAGTGGCGTTTTGTCTTTATTTGGTAATAATTGTTCAATCGTTGACTAATTAGGCTCAAAACGTTCGTCTCGTAAAGTACAATCAAATTGTGCAATTAGTTTTTGATTTCGTCAACATTTAGTATTCTATGCATGTACCGTAAGTTTAATGTGACGGGAAATCTTCTTTTTGTATGGCGACAAATTTAGGAATTTGAAGGAAACTAAACATGCCCTAGATCTCACCATTAGAGAGACGCCTTGGAAATACATAGAAGTCGTCGTGTTCAGGAGTTACTGCCCCTGACGGCCGGCAATCAGTTACCCATCTGGGGAAAAAACCCTGCCCCTTACAAAAAGAAATGAAACACTGTTTTTCTTTTCCTTTTCTAGAGGAACCATTGTCTCCGATGATCGGTTCAGGATTTTGGACCATTTCGTCCAATTCATGATGACCCACGGCAAGGTTTTGCACAGTTAACGCTTATCAATCTTCGTGTGACCCTCCGTATATATTATATTATACAATGCAAAACTAATATTAATAAAAAAAATGGCGCGACGGTGTGACCTGCTTTGTCTTGCATCCACCTCTAGCTGCTGCTGGCCTCGGCTCTCTTGCTGCTGACTACAGGTAATCTCCGCTGTGTTCGTCAGTCATCAGTCGTCGCAGTTGGTTGGAATTGGGTGCGCCAACCCCCTGCGCAGGCGCGCCACACAGACACAGCGTGTTTTGGAGCCAGCAAAGACCTTCGCCCCAACTGATCGTTTGTTCTGAAACTTCGTGGACGAAAAGAACGCCATCTCTGAATATCGGCTGGGACTAACAGCGGCTCTGAAATCTTGCAGCAAAAGAGCGTGAAACCGCACAAGCTGTAAATCCGCAGCAACCAGAAGGCAAGCACAAGATAAGATATAGCTGCCAGCGAAGGCTGATTTGATGACTATATAAACAAGTTCAGAGTTCACCATCAGCTGCATCAGTCAGGCTCAGAGTTCACCTGCAGCAGCATCAGTCAGGCAGAGCAGCAATGGCACCATCCACCGTCTCCTTCCTCGCCATGGTCGTGGTTGCCATGGCAGTGCTCCAAACTTCATCCGCCAATCCGCTACCAGCACCACCCGCGCACAGTCCGGCGTCCTGTTCGGAGACATTATTCAGGCTTTTCGACTGCCTGGACTTCCTGCAGATCGGCGCGAGCATAGCCGGGCCTCCGGCGAACTGCTGTACCTCGCTGAGGGAGGTTCTGAGCTCGCCGGCGGCGATATGTCTCTGCCACGCCATTGGCAGAGATCTCAATGCGTTCGCAGGCGTCAACATCGACCCGATCCGGCTGGCTATACTCCCGGTCGTTTGCCTTGCGATCGTGCCACCTCAGCTGCCCGTCATGTGTTACGGTAATTTTTTGATTTCTCGTTGCTGGTAATCCTTTTACTTCTCCAGCTTATTCGCTCGTTGGTTTCAGAAAGAACTTATCAGTTAATCAATAGTATTTTTTTCTTACAACAAATCAACACCAGCCAAATTTACCAGAAACCAACCAAAATGCCGCTTCACTGTTGCTTGGAGCGTCAAGCCATGGGTTAATACTAATGTTCGTAGTTTTTTTTTCCAGTTGGACCCGTGCCTCCCATTAGCACTATCCCTATCCAGCCGGGAACGCCGCCAGCGATGTCTCCTCTAGTACACAATTAGGCCTCGTTCGTTTAACCATCGTTGATTCATTCCAGGTGATCAAATATAGTACAAATTAGCACAACATTTCTGGTGGAAATAATTCCAGAGATCCATTCTGTGACAACCGAACAGGCCCTAAATAGTTTTTTTATTTCTTTTCGGTTGTGATCTTATCGATCAGTTATGTGCTCTATAAGAAAGTGTTAATGTCTTCTCCGGTTGTGATCTTATCGGTTATGTGCTCTAAAGAAAGTGTTAATGTCATTAATATACAGTTAAGATTTTTGTAAGACCTTTCCACAGTTCCATTTGTGTGGGGGTATGGCCCCCGGTATCTCAAGACAAGACATGGACCGCACCATCAGAGGTGGCCCAGCCCACGAGATCAAGACGTGCACGGCGCTGCTCGACGTACACCGCAAGATATCGTATAGTACCAAATTAAGGAAAGGCATGGGTCCCTCTAACGGACAAGATCTATCTACTACAGATCAATACAATACACCAAAGACATGGGACGTAGGGTATTACGTCGATCAGACGGCCCGAACCTGTCTAAATCGCTGTCTCTGCGCCTTGTGTCACAATCCGGTTTCTGATTACGCGCACCCCCACCGATCAATCTACTTTCATGGGATATCCCTCGGAGGACTGCCGACGATATTCTGTCGACAGTTGGTGCGCCTGGTAGGGGTGTGCGCTTGATCCCATGGCGAGTCAGATGGACCTCAAATCAACAACGCGTTCTCGTCGTCAATCTCATGGAGATCCATGTCGGTCCACGACGACAATTCATCGCTGGCTACACCAGCCCCCACGACAGCAAATCCGATCTCGGAACCACCTCCGAGGTCGTCTTCATCAACAACTCACCGCCCGCCAAGTGCTCGCCGTCAACGCCGACCAGATAACGCCATACGTCGCCGACCAGACTTTCTGCCTAAAGCTAAGTCACGCTTTAATATTTTCCTAAATATTCTTCAATCTTCGTATATCGTCGTAATGTTTCTCCGAGCTGTTTTCTCCATATTTGCTCTCCAAACGATTTTCGAACCCCTGAACAGTCATGTTGATGCTCGGACGCCTCCAGAGACGGCCCTGTCTTCGGCTCCTCCCTACACGTGCTACGGGTTCCGCGCTCTGCGTTATGGGTGGTAGGCAACGGCTCCTTGGTCACGCCTATTCCTCCTACACGTGCACGAGCTCCGCGCTCCGCGTTATGGTTAACGGGCTAGCTAGGACTAGAGACTCAGCTACACACTAATTGTTCGGGCGGTTTGTATTAAATATAAATACATCTTCACACCAACTGATCGCCGAACTACATACGCTATTGCTGATTTTTCTCCGGAGTTCATATATTTTTACATCATGTACTATCCATTCTATATATTTATTTTTGTAGGTCAGAGTCCAGGTGATCGGATCACCTGGTGCTCGGACTTCTCCATCGATCAACTGGTCAAACCGCTAGGTTCATGGACTTCATCGCCGACCAGGTGATCGGACTGTTCACCGGTCGTTTCTACTCAACGCTCACTTCGCCGCCGGCCAGTTGACCAGACTGTTCATCGCTCGTGCTTCATCGCTAGCTATGTTGGTTACCCCTTGGTGCTCGGATTCTTCGTGCTCGATGACTAAGTGGGCACACTTCACCGCACGCACGTCGCCAGCTACGCCGGGGACTCCTCGGTGCTCGGACCTTGCCAGTTACACCGGGAACTCCTCGGTGCTCGGACTTCATCAGCTATGTCGGGAACTCCTCGGCGCTCGGACCTCGCCAGTTACACCGGGAACTCCTCGATGCTCGGACTTCGTCAGCTACGCCGGGAACTCCTCGGCGCTCGGACCTCGCCAGCGACGTCGGGGACTCCTCGCTCCTCGGTGCTCGGACATCACCACCGACGCTGGGGACTCCTCGCTCTTCGGTGCTCAGACATCGCCAGCAACGCCGGGGACTCCTCGCTCCTCGGTGCTCGGACATTGCCAGCGGCGTCGGGGACTCCTCGCTCCTCGGTGCTTGGACATCGCCCGCAACGCCGGGGACTCCTCGCTCCTCGGTGCTCGGACATTGCCAGTGGCGCCGAGGACTCCCCGGTACTCGGACATCGCCAGCGGCGCCGAGGACTCCTTGCTCCTTAGTGCTCAGACATCGCCAGCGGCGCCGAGGACTCCTCGGTGCCCGGACATCGCCAGCGACGCCGGAGACTCCTCGCTCCTTGGTGCTCGGACATCGCCAGCGGCGCCGAGGACTCCTTGGTGCCTGGACATCGCCAGCGACGCCGGGGACTCCTCGCTCCTTGGTGCTCGGACATCGCCAGTGATGCCGGGGACTCCTCGCTCCTCGGTGCTCGGACATCACTAGCGGCGCCGAGGACTCCTCAGTACTCGGACATCGCCAGCGGCGCCGGGGACTCCTCGCTCCTAGGTGCTCGGACATCGCCAGTGACGCCGGGGACTCCTCGCTCCTCGGTGCTCGGACATCGCCAGCAACGCCGGTGACTCCTTGCTCCTCGGTGCTCGGACAAGACTAGCGACGCCAGGGACTCCTCGCTCCTCGGTGCTCGGACATCGCCAGCGACGCCAGGGACTCCTCGCTCTTCGGTGCTCGGACATCGTCAGCGACGCAGAGGACTCCCTTGCTGCTCGGATCTTGTTACGTCTCGTCGGTGTGCTATCAAGCTGCTCCATGCTATTTGGATCAGGGTGCTGATCTTGGGCAGCACGTTTGGGGTCTTGATACGCGCATGTCAGACGACGTCACCAAGCTTTCAGACTTCTTTTTCTTTGACCTTGCTACAAGATTCATTCTTCATCTTGCAGCAGGCTCACGGACTAAGTGGGCACACTTCACCTTACGGTGAATGTGTGCTTTTCTCATCTCGAGGCTACGCCCGGGGACTGGCTGCCTGCTCGACTGGTTTTCTATCTTTTGACCCTGGCACCACGTGACTATATCACCTACTATCAGGCTTAGGGACTAGCTGTGGGGGTATGGCCCATGGTATCCTCAAGACAAGACATGGGCCGCACCATCAGAGGTGGCCCAGCCCACAAGATCAAGATGCGTGCACCGTAAGATATTGTATAATACCAAATAGACTACTTTACTTGTAACCCTGTGTGGCAGAACCGCCTAATCTAATGCCTCATAGGAGTGCTTGTCTTCCATTAGACACTAAGCACTCGAGGGAGAACACTAAATTTTTTAGTTCCGTCGGGCATACCCCAGGGGAGAACCCAAAAATCCACATTTTCGCCATCAGGATCACAAATGAGAGAAATAAGCTTACATCATTTAACCATTTCTTACATCACTTTTAATACACATCAGAGTATAATAGTTATTGTTATAACAACGAAATGTAATCATGTTATCAAAGTTATGAACAATTTAATTGAACATCGGAATATAAATATATGATCAGAATTATCAGCGGAAAATAATTATTTAGCCTTGGCACGATGAATCATTGATATATAAATTATGACAACAGATTATTAAACTTTCATTTATAAAAGTATTTGGTGAGAGTTATAAATAACAACTACGATCGCAACTTAAAGGAATCCTCGCTGAGCCCACTAGGAGAAATCCACACACAAGAGTCAGCTTTAGCATCCACCTGTCACCTGCAATAGGGGGAATAAAACCCTGAGTACTCAATTGTACTCAGCAAGACTTACCCGACAGGAGGAAAGAAAAGACTCCAAGGATATGCAAGGCTATCTAACTTGTGGGTTTATTGTATTTGCAGGAAGCATTACTAAGCGTGCGTCCTTATATTGGATTTTTATTAATAGCCGCATTGGTTCATTAACTAACCATTCTATGTAAGCACCTGTACTACTTTCAAGCATGTGGTAAGCAATCAGATTTCCTTTTTCATCTTCCATCTTTCATCTTCAGTTCTTACTACGATGCTAAACCGTAGGCAAGCCGTACCGGATCTCCCGACGATTCGCGAATCAATGCCCCCAGTTGGGTACCCCGAAAACACACGCCCCACTTGTACCCTAGGCACAAGCAGGACCAACCCATCACTCTCCTATCCCGGGTGTCCAGGTCCCCGTCTAAACTGGGACTCCAAGCCCCCGCCCCTGAGTCCCGGACTCAGTGCGGTGCAAGGACCTCCTCCACCAAAAACAAAACCCTGACAGTCGGTCCGGAAAGAGCCGGATCCGCGACAAGAGAGCAACAAGTCTTCCAAGCGCCCATACACAAGTATGTGCCCAGGATAATAAGTCTGTGATCTGCCTAGAGTCATATGCAACGATCGGTCCTTAATCGACACAGACAGGGAAAGCAGTGTAACCAAGACATGCCTCACGTCCATGGCGACACAACTTCTTACACCCACCAATACCCAAACCATATCCCTGCCCGGTCACCATTTTCCTTTCCACCATCTATATTTTCCAAGTGATAATCATTCAGTAATATATTTTCTATCTCTCACGAGTGATAGACAATCACTCGACATCTTTCGGAGTCCTGTAGCATAGCAATCTACGCGATCCTGTCATACTAGTAAGACTCATAGGATAAAGATATATATATGCAAGTGAGTTTCATTCAACTAATTAAAACTTAATGCACAATTATAATTTAAACTACAGAAAAGTATGGGTTATGCACCGGGGCATGCTTGGGTAAGATATATATTAAAAGTTAGTATCTGCATCTTCAGATCATCCACATCATTTCAATAGAAAGCCCCATCGTATTATCTCCTGGAGAGAATACCA